CCCGGCCTGATTTTTTTTTTTTTTTTTGAGACAGAGTCTTGCCTTGTTGCCCAGGTTAGAGTGAGTGCCGTGGCGTCAGCCTAGCTCACAGCAACCTCACACTCCTGGGCTCAAGCGATCCTACTGCCTCAGCCTCGCCGAGTAGCTGACTGACAGCAGGACCATGCCGGCTGATTTTTTCTATATATATTGGTTGGCCAATTAATTTCTTTCTATTTATAGTAGAAACGAGGTCTTGCTCTTGCTAGGCTGGTTTTGAACTCCTGACCTTGAGCGATCCGCCCGCCTCGGCTCCCAGAGTGCTAGGATTACAGGCGTGAGCCACCACGCCCGGCTTGATTTTCTTAATAACACTTTCTTTTCTCTAGCTTACTTTATTGTAAGACTATAGTACATAAGACATATAACATGCAAAATATGTGTTAATCAACTGTTTATGTTATTGGTAAGCTTCTAATCAACAGTGGGCTATTAGTGGTTAAGTTTTAAGAGGAGTCAAAAGTTATCTGTGGATTTTCTTTTCTTTTTTAATTTTTGAGACTTGCTTTGTTGCCTGGGCTAGAGTGCTGTGGCGTCAGCCTAGCTCACAGCAACCTCAAACTCCTGGGCTCAAGTGATCCTCCTGCCTCAGCCTCCCGAGTAGCTGGGACTACAGGCATGTGCCACCATGCCCGGCTAATTTTTTTATTTTTTTAGTGGAGACAGGGTCTCGCTCTTGCTCAGGCTGGTCTCAAGCTCCTGACCTTAAGTGATCTTCCCGCCTCAGCCCCCCAGAATGCAAGGATTACAGGCGTGAGCCACCGTGCCCGGCCATCTGTGGATTTTCGACTGTGGGAGGTCAACGACCCTAACCCTCATGTTGTTCAAGGGTCAACTGTATGTTTTTACTTGAAGCATAGAGACATGAGAAAATGCTTGCAATAAAACATTAAGAGAATAAAGCAGGATACAAAACTACATTTACAGCATGATCCCAATTTTGTACGATAGATAGACATTGATGATAACAACAAAAAACCATGCATACATAATATATGTTCTAGAAAAGACTAGAAGAACTACACCTGAATGTTGGTGATGTTATCTCCGGATGCCAGGATCACAGGTGACTTTAATGGTTTTCTCAATAGCTTACTAAATTTCCAAATTTTCATCTGTGCCTTTGTTCCTTTTACAAATAAGAAAACATAATTACATTGTTATTTGAAAGTCTCGCAAGGGGCAGGGGCGGCGTGCGCAGTGCGAGCGCGGTCAGTTCTGCCTCGCTGAGCTGAGCGCTGTGGGGCTCGGAGACGTGAAGTCCTTGTGCTTCTTGCCCGGGCTGCGCTCGGGGGTTTGCAGCCTTCGGCCAGCCCGGCCACTCCGTATCCTCCACGCGTCCAAGTTTGGCCCACGGACAGCTGCTTTTAGGTATCCTTTTCTTAAAAAGAGTGATGTCATTTAGTTAGTCCATTTGTTCGTTAGTCCCTCCCTTCCTTCCCTTCCTAGCCCTTCCCACAGAGGACGAGGAGAGGCCAGAAACAATAAAATCAGGGCTTCATGGGATGGTTCCAAATTTGTTTCAGATTTTCTTTTTCTTTCTTTTTTTTTTTTTGAGACAGAGTCTCACTCTGTTGCCTGGACTATGTTTCAGTTTTTCTTTTCAGCTTTGCTCTACACACACCTAGGCTAGAGAGAAGATCAAGCCCGGTCCCTGCCTGGCAGGCTCCCTGTGTGGTCGGGGGAACACAGCAGGGACAAGGGGCAGGACGAGTGCTGGGGGCAGGGGCTCCAGACAAGAGACGGGGGCTCTCAAGTCAGGCAGTTCCGTGGATGGGGTGACCCCAGTCCTGTACGTACCATTAAGTGAGCGCCTCTGGGTGCGGGCTCAGGGCCAAGTGCTGACCAGCTCTGAGGCCACGGCCCTCACAGTCCAGCAGCACGAGTGGGCAGGTGCTCATGGTGGAAGGGGCGGAGAAGCTCCCTTGGGTCTCTTATTTTTTAAAATTTTATTTAAAGATGGAGTCTCTCTTTGTCACCTAGGCTGGAGTGCAGTAAGTAGCTCACTGCAGCCTCGAACTGCTGGGCTCAAGGGATCCTCCTGCCTCAGCCTCCCAATTGCTGGGATTACAGGCGTGTGTTTAGCCACTGTGCCCAGCAGGACCCAGAATGCCCAGCTCTGCCCTCATGACCTAATCACCTCCCAAAGCGCCACCTCCTACATGCCCTCACTGTGGGGGTTAGGAGTTCAACATGAATTTGTGGGGGACACAAACATTCAGACCACAGCACTGGCTCAGTGGTCCCTAGGACACTGCGCTGTCAGTGGCCATTCCGGACTGGGAATGGGTCTTGTGCCTCAATTGCAGGCCAGGCGAGGTTCAGCTCAGCCTGGGCCATCGTCCTGGGCACGGTAGAGCCCCTCCACCCTGACCCTGGCTCTCCTCACTGGGGGCCCCAGGGCCCTTCTGCTGCTCCCGCCAGAGACCACAGAGGTGGGACACACAGCTGCCCCACCCAAATCAGAGGAGGTTTAGGGCAGGGTAGGCGGGGAAGGGAGCAAAGGGGGCAGCCACCACCCTGGGGAGAGCACGGCCTGTGAAAGGGGTGGGGAGGAAAGGTTGTTTACAGGGCACCTTCGCTGGGGTGCCCACCCGGCAGGGGCTTGGCTTCTGGACACCTCCCCCCCCAAAGTCATCCTCAGTTGACTTTGCAGCAGTGAAGTTCAGGCACTCGCTGGGCCTCAGTCTCACCGGGGCTGAGGTCCTCTTCCATTCGTCTGTGGTGCAGCCTGACCTCCTGCCCAGGCAGGGACTCCAGGGTCTCTGGGCATGAGGGTAACAGCTCAAGGACCAAGCAGTGTTCTGCCCCTTCGGGCCCTGGGGCCTGAGTTGGGAGGCCTTTGTTTGTCCTGATACAGTGAGACCTTTCCAGAACCCACTATGCACGCCCTTCGAGGACAACCCTGCCCCTCCTCGCTGGCTCTCCCCACTTGGTGTCAGAATGACTCAGGTCCCTCTGTGAGCCTAAAGCAGTTCCCCAAGGGTGAACACCAGCACTTCTTCATGTCTGTCCTGGCACCACAGTCTCACGGCAGGTGCTCAATAAATGCTTGGTGAATGAGTGACTGCCCAGTGGACACACAAGGAGAAAGCGGGCCGGTCCCCTGCCAGGAGGACTGCTCAGGGCTCAGGCCTTGCTGAGCTCCCCCAACCACTTGCTCTGCCTGTGGGCAAGTCATTCCTCTCTCTCACTTGGCCTCAGTTTGCCCATGAACTAGTTGGAGCTTGGTCAGGTGGTCCACAGGGCCCTTCTCAAGCCCACCTCACGGGTATCCTGAGGGCTTGTGAGCAGGTCCCCCTGGCCGTTCCCCAGTGAGGCCGGGCAAGGTGGGGAGAGGACTCCCATGTTTGGGGGATCAGGGTCCTGCCTCAAAGCCCAGGTCGCAGAGGCCAGCCCTGTCCTCCGTCTGCAGGGACATCTGAAGACCCAGTTTTAGCTCAGGCTGCAGCAGAGCCAGGTCTGTGTCTGGGTCACTCGGCTGTACTTGCTCACCTTCCTGGCATTACTAGGGGGCAGGGGGCTGGAAAGGGTTGATGAAATACCCACCTCCCGGCCCCCACGGAGCTCCTGCCCAAGAGAAGGCACTGAGGCTCACTAACAGCCCCCCTAGAGTCACCTCAGGGGCCTTGGGGATGGTTGGTGGCAGCACTGATCGGGTCAGCGGCTGTGGAAGGAACAAGGGACCAAGAGGTCTCGGTGGCCCAGCATGGAGAGCACAGGAGGGGCAGCCAAGGATGGCGGAGCGTCCTGGCCCCCAGCCTGTGGTGTTGGTCATGACAATGATGCCTCCTGAGGGCCTGTGGCCTTCCCCCACTTACTGTACCCCCTCCAACAGGGAAGGCAGCCATTGCTCCTGCCTGGGGAAACTGAGCCCAGAGGAGCAAGGTGAAGTCCCCAAGCTGGCCCCTGAGGGCATGACGAGGCGGGAGGGCAGTTAGGAGGTCCCTTACAGGGGCTGTGAGTGAGGGCCTGGCAGAGTGGAGGTTGCTTCACCCAGCCCAGCAGGCCTGGCCCAGCACGTGGCCAGTCTCCTGTGGCGGGAGCTGCCTGCGGGGCCTGGACAGCAGCTCAGGCCCAGCGGCCCCCGCAGCCTGCTTCTAGCCCCTCCCTCTGCCCCGCCTGCCTGCCCCTCTCCGCAGCCGGGGCTGGCATCTGCCTTGGCCGGTGGGTGACTCACTGCTGGGCTCTGACGCCTCAGAAGCTGGGAGAGCAGGGGACCTGCCTGCGTCAGATAAGGAGCCTGGGCGGCAAAGATTCCCCCCTGCCCTTGCTGAGCTGGGGCAAAGCCACGCTGCAGGGGCAGCTGCCCGCCTCACTCCTGCTGGCTCCTGCGGGCCACATGTCCAGATGGGGGGCTTTCCTGGGCAGCCTGACCAGGGCTTGGTGAGGGTGGCACAGCAGCCCTCACGTCTTGTCTCTCTCCCGCTGCTAACTGGCCAGGGCAGCCAGGCCAGGCCTCCTTCCTCAGTTTACCCCATTGGGGATAGAGTGGTGTTCCTCAGGGACTCCGCTCAGCGACTGGGACTAGCTGGGACTCCTTGGGTAGAGCCGGCTCTTGCAGCCTGTTTCCTCCTCTGGAAAATGGAAATGGGAGGCTTGCCCGCTCCCCGTGGGGCTGTTTGCAGCTATAAGAGTAAAAGGTGGAGCCCCAGGCCTGGCACACAGCAAGTGCTCAGGAACAAAACGTGCTCAGGGAGAGTTCCGGGTCCTGCTGTCTGGGCCCGGAGGCAGGGAAGCCCAGGAACTACAGAGGCAGGTCTCCAAAGAGGGGGGCCCCAAGGGGCTCAGGTGCTTCAAATCCCCAGTCTCCGGTTTGGCAGGGGCAGTGGGACATGGCCCCTCGGGCAGGGGTCCTGTGTCCTGGACCTTGCCTGGTTCCAAAGCTAGTAAACCCCGAGGAGGACGCGGCCACCAGGTGACGTGAGCATGAGGGCAGATGCACAGCAAAGGGACTTTCATATGCACAAGATCAACTGTTTATTGCTTTCTCCTAAAATACTATACATTTTAAAGGAACGAAACTTAAAAGACAACAATTTTTGGTAAATCTGTAGCATAGGATTGAGGGTTTCTGCTGGTAAGTTCCATGACAGACACAGACACACGTCCACTTTCCGAGCAAGACGCCGAGCTCGCTGGAAAGGGCGGAAATGCATAGCTCGTGATGGCGGCGGGGGCGGCACCGCGTCTGAGTTACATAAAATAGAATCTTGCCCGGCCCCACCCGCCGGCCACGTGACCACAGTGTAGCTCTGGCCACAGCACCCCTGGCTCTCTGGCGACTAAGGACATTCAGAGAGGCCTGTGCTGTGGGTGAGATCCAGCTTTTGTTTGCCCACAAGGAACACAGATGGCTGGGAAGCGTGCGACGGCTGCAAAGACATGGGCGTTTTACAGTGTTCTGCTACGGGCCTAAGAGTGAAGCCGCAAGGCCAAGTCTCCCTCCAGCGTCTCCATCGCGGAGGGGCCCAGCGCCCACATCTGTGCCTGGGCCAGGGCCAGCGGCCAGCCAGGCCTGTGCCTGGATGCCGCAGACTTCACGCACTTTACAAATGAAAGCCACTGTCAAAAGCCGTCAAATCTCATTAAAACAGTAGACAAGCTTTTTAGATTTCTCTGGACACGAATAATATACACAGATATACACAGAGACAGATGCGTTTGCTTGAAAAGTTAGTCTTCTTACTTTTTAACCTTCCAAATCACTGATAAGACTGTTAATTTGTAAGAGAGTAAAGTTTTAAGCAAGATTAGAGTGACGATTTTTAAATATGGCGATTTAGGGAGCACTGCGTACGGCTGTATCCGACACTTGCGTTCAGACGCCTGGAGCACAGAGGGCGCGCACGGTAGGAGCCCGTGACATGCGCCCACCTTTCTGCGACAGTCTCCCACCGCTCACTCCGCACAGAGGCGGCTGGTTAACAGTGTAGCACAGAGACGGAGACAGTGATTCCTGGAGACTGGTGTCCATCCATCTGTGTGGCAATTTAAGTATGAATGAATGGAAGAACAGGTATAAAAAAAGTATAACTGTACACAGCCTTTAAATTAAAAACCTCAAAATCTTTACTCAGAGAATGGCATGTAAGTTTGTTCATTTAAGTTGCAAGTGACAGGACTCGCCAGAGAAAGTGATCAGTGAACTAGAATCAGCGTAACCCATTGACTCGGAGGAGAGGAGACAAGGTCAAGAGCATACAGATCCATGATAAGCCAGCGGACGCGGCGGGCGGCGGCAGGGCCGGCTCCTTCTCTGCTGTTCCGCTCAGATGCTCCAGCTGCACTCGGAAAGGTGCCGCGTCCCCAGTGAAGTGACCAGCTCATCCGCCTGCCAGGGACACCCTGAAGCCAAGAACAACGGAACCTTCATCTTCTGCGGGAACACGAGTGGATGCCCATGTGGCCCGCTGGAGGCACCGCAGCTCCTGGCCCGCCACCTCCGTCCGTCTGCCGGCCTGCCCCATAGCCCGTCACTGGATCGCCTCGACGTAATTCGCAGGGTACAGGCCAACCTGCCCACTGTCCAAGCGTCCCTTGCACCAGCCTTGCTCATCTTCATCCTCCATCTTGGTCAGCTCATCCCCTGCACACAAAGAGGGAAAGGATACTCTGGTTTCTCTTCAGATCGTATAAATCTTTCGCCTTTTACAAAGAGGGAAAGGTCTTGGTGAGAGGGCGGGTGACACCAACCATGGGTTGGAGAGCTGTTTCGCATGATTTGGGGCCACGGAGGGTCTCTGCCCTGGGCGGAGGGGCAGGGATTCACTTGGGGGCAGGGCAAGGGCCTGGGTAGTTCTCTACTAAACTGCATTCCCTCCTCCTTTTTTAGAGACGAGGTCTCGCTCTGTTGCCCAAGGTGGAGTGTAGTGGCATGATCATGGGTCACTATAGCCTTGAATTCCTCAGCCTGTTCAGTAGCTCCGACTACAGATGCACCCTCCAATGCCCAACTAATTTTTTTTTTTTGAGATGGGTTCTCGCTATGTTGCCCAGGCTGGTCTTGAACTCCTGAGCTGAAATGATCCTCCTGCCTCAAGTCATTGGGATTACCATTGTGAGCCACTGTGCGTAGTATACACTGCATTTTAAGCTGCCTCTTTGGTCACATGGCCTCTGAGAGGTCTAGAGAGGACAGTCGCACACAGTGACCCCAGAGCAAGCAGCTCTCAGCTACCGCAATGGCTCCCACAGAGACTGCAGAGCCGAGTGCTGTGGGCATGCGCCTCCCTGCCTGCCTCCGGCTGGGGAGGAATGCTTCCCAGGCCATGCCCCTCCCTCGCACCCCGGCTCTCCACTGCCGTCCTCCCTGCCTGGGCCCCCTCCGCTCTTCTTGTATCTTGCTCGGCATCTGCTGCTGTGGTCACTGTGCCCTTGTTAACCCATCCCCACTGCCAGATGCCAGGCTGTGTGAGGGGCAGGGACCACATCTGACAGCCGTAACTGCACGTGGCTCAGGCCTTATACAAGATGACATTTATCAATCCCTCCCCACACTGTGAGGTGGAAGCCATTGCCACTGTTCTGGAATCTCCCATGGCTGTACGTGTTAGTGTGGTTTATCTTTTGTTTGTTCAAACTTGAAGGAGCCCCTACTTTGGGCCAGGCTTTGGTAAAGGAGGAGATACAGATATGAGAAGAACAGAGAGAGCCCAGTCTTAAAGGAGACAGGGACAAGATCAAAATCGTGGGCTGGAAAAAAAAATAAATAAATAAAAAAAAAATCGTGGGCTGGGTGCGGTGGCTCTGCCTGTAATCCTAGCACTCTGGGAGGCTAAGGTGGGACAATAGCTCGAGTTCAGGGGTTCGAGACCAGCCTGAGCAAGAGTAAGACCCCATCTCTACCAAAAATAGAAAAATTAGCCAGGCATGGTGGTCCATGCCTGTATTCCCAGCTACTTAGGAAGCTGAGGCAGGAGGATCACTTAAGCCCAGGAGTTTGAGGTTGCAGTGAGCTATAATGGTGCCAGTGTACTCTACCTGGGGTGACAGAGTAAGACTCTGTCTCAAAAATAAATAAGTAAATAAATAAATACTTATTTTTTTAAAAAAGTGACCAGGGCAGTGATGGGGGAAGTAGCGCCAGGGCAGGGTCCTGGGTCTAGCATTTGCCCATGAAGGGCCTTTGTGCTTCTAGCTGGTGACTAACTGCAGAGGCTACAGGGACCTGCTGGCTCAGACCTCCTCAGGAAGAAGCCACTAGTGGAAATTAGTAGTCTCCCATGCTGCTCTGCCTTCACGGTTAGGCTTGCAGCTCTGTCTCCCTGCCATGGGTCCACGGTTCAGAAGCAGATACAGGTCTCCCCGGGCAGGCAGTGTGCCTGGTTTGGCAATGTCTCCCAGAAGTGGCAGCGATACTGGTCACGATGCTACGGGGCCAACACCTGGGGCTCCTGGTGCCCCCGGGACTGCCCAGACTCAAATCCCAAAGCCGGCCCTCACCGCTGGGAGACGGGCCCAACTGCCTCTGCTCCCCTTGTCTGTGGACTGCGGATGCTGTGAGAATTATGGGTTAAAACACAAATGGACCCTGGGACAGTGCATGTAAACACTGACTCATCCTGCTGCCACCACCAGACCCGTTGTCCTGCAAATCTGACTTAGAAGCATCAGCGGCCACCAGGAACCAGCCATCTTCTCCCAGCCTTCCGCCACGAGGGCCCAATGCTTCCCTTGCCCTGCCTTTTGGGCTGCTGCGTCCACGGGCCCCACTCCAGGCTTCAGGGGCTAGGAGAAGGCCCCCTATGTGAAGCCGTCACGAGGTGGGAAGTCCACCCAGGAAGGGCTCCTGCAGCACATGCGACCCAGCGAGGCAGCCAGCAGCCAGGGCACCGCGAAAGCTGGGAGACAAGCGCGCTGGCTGGGAGCTCATTTTGCATCGTCAGGGAGCAAAGTGCCACAGAAGACAGACAACAGACAGGAAACCTCGAGTTATGCAAATGTGAACTGGGGGTTACAAATGTTCATTTCAATCAGTTTGCTTTTTTTTTTTTTTTTTTGAGACAGAGTCTCGCTTTGTTGCCCAGGCTAGAGTCAGTTCACCAACTTTGTTCTTCTACAATATTGT